GCATGTGTCTTACTTAAAAATGTACAAAAGCAATAAACAAAGTGATAACCTTTTTTCGTTTGTATTCAAGTACTATTAAAGAAAACTAGATTTTCGGCTTCTGAGGGTTTTAATTCGATACCGTTAACTTTGATTTCCTTAACGGTAAGTTTATTGTTCTTTTTAATACCCTTTCGGAAGTTGTGTGCAATAGGATCAATGAATTGATAAAGACTAATTTCTTTTCCAAGATACCGAATCTCATTTGGTCACGTGCCTTCTTGCATTATCTGCATAGTAGGTACGTACGAGAACTTTTTGTTTCTTTTGTTTCAAAACTTATCTTCTTTTGTTTGCACGACAAACTTGAGACCTATATCGATACTTAGTTTCAAGTACAGCTTCTTCATTTTGAATTTCTTAATTGATACCGCATTTTTTTGGTTAACATAGATCGTATCACCATTATTTGTTTCAGTTTGGCCTTTCTTTACAATAATGGGTTTGACTTTCTGTCCCTTTCTGATGGCGTCATGGTCAATTAATTGTAACTTATAGGATCTCTTAGGCGTAGCCTTAGTGATCTTCTGTACCTTCTTTCCTTTGTGAATAAACTTAACTGAGGTCTTCGATTTAGCGTAAAACTTATTCAAGGAATCTTTTTGTCCTTCCGAGGGGGTCACGAATTGAAGTTTGGGTCTATCAACAATTTGAACATTATCAATTTTATCTTGGTTTCTTGACACCAAGATGCTAACTTAATTTCAATTAAATTTAAAGTAGGAGCGTAGAATTTAACGTGAAATCTTTAATTATAAATATTGTCCGGTGTGGCATTGGTCAGGTTGTTTCTGGTCCTCGAAGCCCATAAGACGAAACAGTTACACTTACAAACGCCTTCAGTGCATTCTTTGCAGAAACCTTTGATTTTGCTAAATATTTTTACAATATTGCTACAATATTACTACAATACTGTATAATTCTAATATTACAAAAGTTATCATATGATAAATATATATTAATTATATGTTAAAAATATTATTATTATATTTTAAAAATAGTTTTATTATTCTGTTAAATCACTTTTAATTTGATGTATATTATATATTTGTAATATAATTACAATATAGTTTTAATATTAAAATTATCTTTTTATAATCTAATA